ATACCTGATTTTTTATTAAAAAACTCTCACCTGATTTTTGTACTTTAAAGTTCAAAAAACTAGAATTATGTAATTTCCACTTAATTCATTATATATGAATTTCATATAAAGGATGATTCCGAGCCTCATACGATCGATGTTGTCAATTTAAAGTTCAAACAAACGATCGAATTTGAGGAAGCAAGTAACACATTGAGCAGTCCAGTTCCGAGAATACTTCCTGTAGTTGATTTTGCAGTTGCCCCATTTCAGCAGCAATTGCAGAAAGCTTGTTTGCAGCATCCATTTGTTATGTTTAAACGAGCCACTATCTTATGAAGATGGTCAAATTAGACACTATAATATGGAGTTTTCATTCTTGTTCCTCAGATGGGGAGGTAGCTGGACCACCTTAATTAATATTTTCTAAATTTCCTCTTTATTAAATGTTTTGAGTTTCCCTTACACAAAATTGCCCATAATACTGAGGACCCATGCCAAATAATTTTTTTTTTTTTTTTTTTAATATTGTAATTTTTATTTCTTAACTTAAAAGCCAAAACAAGCTCAAGAGTTTTTGGCACGGACTGATTGTTTATATTGGTTTAATATAATACTTGTATGCTTCAATAATAAATTTGTAGATGCATCTGAAATTATGCACTTATTATTAATACTTCAACCTTAAGAAATGCTTTGACTTCTTTCCAAACTTTTTTTTACTGCCAAAATTTCATTATTTTGATTGAGATTTGATAACGCCATTTTAAGGGGATTATGTTATAATTTTTTTGACTTGATAATTAATTAATCCAATTGGAAAGGTAACTTTAGACCCAAAAAATGTAAATTTATTATTTTTGTTTCACAATAAATAAGTGTAATAGTTTGTTCAAACTATAACGATAAGTACGATGGGAAATGTGATTTTACATATCATCAAAGTAGGTGTTCGGAAGTGCATTTACGTTGTACATACTTAATTTTACATGTTTTATGATTATTATAGGAGAAAACACGATACTGAACGAGAAATGATGAAAAGGAACGAGCTTGGATAAAAAATGATTGAATTTGGAAGAATTGGGGGGCCAATATGTCAAGTTCCCTTGATTAAATTAACACAATTGATAACCTTAAAATCGTAGAGAATGTGTCCAAATAACATGTTAAGGAAAAAAATTCCGCGTACAAGAAAAACGACATATATAAACGAGTTTACAAACTTCTACAAAAATGAATCCAGACATAGACCCCCTCGTTTGTTGTAGATTCAAATCAGATTTTTAATAGATTTTGATAAAAATTGATGAAATGTGTGGTTGAAAAATTGTGAATCCCTTAAAATATGTGGTTAAAATTAATTATCGACCTTGA